AAAAAGGATATTTCCTTTGTCTAGACATGTTCAAACTTATGTTGAATAAATATTTTAAATATAGAACTTCAGATCTTAAATGTTACCCACTCTCTAGAGACCATCAATGTTTAATAACTTACAGATGCAATATTTCTTGCCCACTTGAGGACAACAGAGTGGAGTCACTCTAGGTCCCCTGTGTGATCATCTAGGAAAGTACAATTGTGTAGTTTTACTCCTCCTTTTGTCAGACCCTGTTTTCTTCGTTTTCCTGCAGGGATGAGTACGAGAATACTCTCTAGCAAACTTTCTGCTTGTTGTTTCAAATATGTATATTAAAGTCGATTCTAGGATGAAATTGATATTTATAAAAATAATCCCTGGGGCTCTCCCTGGTGGCACAACGGGTTAGGATACAGCACTGCAAGCTGGACACAGCCCCTTTAGTTCGAATTTGATACCCAGCCACGAGGTGATCCACATCCTAGGACCTTTCCTGGCCCGCCCAGGAGTATAATTTGTTGATCTGCCTGTGCTGCTCCCCATTCTGTCTCTGGTGAAGCCTCTCACCACTCCAGCACTTCTACTTTGTATGCCAGCTCTGTATGCATGAATTGATATATATATATATTTTTTGAAAAGTAATCTATGGGTAGATTTTTCACTCTGATGTAATGATTATTATTGTCAGCAGGTAACCATGTTCCAGGTAAAATATTATACATTCTATACACAATAATTAATTTCATTTTAACAATATTGTGCAACCATCTCGGGCTGGGTAAATTGTCAGTTTTCACAGATAAAGAGAATTTTGAAATCTTCAGTAGAGTTGGCAGATCTTTAATGCTGAAGCAGGGGACTTTACACACAGGCAGGCAGAGCAAGAGACACTCTAACACTGACAGAGTCGGAAAAGCAGCCCCTGCCAACCCCCTTTACACTGCTGAGTGCCCATAGCCACACAACACATACATGGCTGCAAATGCAAAATCCTTCTGTTGTATGGGTTTTCTGTTATGTGAAAAATGAAAAAGTGCCTATTCTTAACTCAGTTTCCTTACAAACAACAAACATACACACACACACACACACACACACACTTAATTACCTAATTGTATGTAGATATAGGCATACATATAACACATCCCAGAAATCTAACTCTTCACAAGTAAGGAAATTGGAGACTTAGGAAGGCTAATTAACTTGCCAATGTCAGTTAGCTGAAAAGTGTCTGATTCTGGTTGATTCACCAATTTGACATCAAGCTGACTAAAAGCAAGAGCCAGCAAAACTTTTATAATGAACACTGCTTCCCATCCTGTAATATAACACTTTGCCCTCAGTAATGGCCAATAAATATTTATCACATGAATAAATTAATGCATTTATATGTTTTACCCTAAACCCTTTCCATTAGTCACTGTGGTGTGCAATCTCTCATGTGCAGTGTGAGTTTTGAACTTAATGGTCATTAAAAAAAAAAAAAAAAAGGAAGGAAGAGCTGAAGGGATGGAGGAAGGGAGGAAAAAGGATTTAATTATGCATTTTTTAAAAAAATTCGGTGTAGTAGGTTTTGTTTTGTTTCTTTTAAAGTAGAATCACATATAAATTTTTATCTCAGACGTATCAGAGAAATGGTAATGTTATTTGATCCTTGAAATGTGTCTTTATTAAAATGGTAAAAACGGTGTATTTAACTTAATGCAATGCTACAGAATGTTAAGATGATCAGACCTTAAAATTGATGAATATTTCCCCAAATGTAATGTTGAAGGAATAAAAATGAAGTTTCCATCTACCTTCTCTACTTTCTTAGGCAGCATGTGCAGAAGCGGAAATGAAAAAGAACCTTACTATTAGTAATTATCATGATAATTTTTTCCCTAAAGATTGTATTTATATATGCATACAGAAATGTGGTATAGTCTAGAGGTGTAGGGGAGGCAAGAGGGTTCACCAGAAACAGTGGGAAGCAGAACAGGCAGATTGACAAAGTACACTGCTGAGGGGAGCAGTGGATGAGACAGGAGAGGTCTGCTGTGCCATGTGGGTCACCTCCAGGGTGGGGATTGAACTCACACTGAAGAATAGGCTTGGCTTAGCTTCACAGTGCCCCAACCTGATGTGCCACCAGGGAGGGCCATATCATGATGAATTTAGTTGTGTCTCTTTTATCCTGAAATATTTTTTTTCTCATAATATTACACACCCATCATGTGTCTAATGCTTGTGGGTCTTAAGCGCAGTGTCAGTTTTAGGATTTTTCATTAAATCATCCAAGAGCTTGGTAAGCATTTTTGTAGTATTAGTGTCACAGAGATAAAAAGAAAATAAAAGCTCAGATTTCTAAGTAGGTCTGATGCCCAAAGTGTTAGAATGATTCCCAAAAATATAAGTAAAAATGGAATCAAAGTTTATTTATTTTTTTATTATTTTTACTTCCATGAAAGTCCTTGAAGTAGTCCCTGAAGTTACACAACAGATAACCAGTCTGACTCTCTCTACTCCAAATCTACTGAAGCATTAAAATAACTAATTAGAAGTAATGGAGAGATAGCACACACTTGAAGAAAGTGATCCTATTATAACCCTAAGCCAGAAACAATGTTACCTCAATTAAAAATAAATAAATAAATAAGAAATCAGGAAAAGAGAGAGACAGAGAGATGGCAAGGATCTACTATAAAATAAAAAGTGTGTAAAAATAATGGGCCATTTATTAGAAATACCAAAATTTACAGTATTACAAGGTAATGTTGTTTCAGTAGTTTAAAAAACAAAAACAACAACAACAACAACAAATGTCAGAAGAGGCTTGCTTTGTAAACTACCAAAAGCTTAAATCACTTAGTATGTTACCCCAGATATTTCCCCTAAAAGATGCCAGATTTATAGAAAATTAGGACAGATTTATTTCTCAGTAATGGCAATCCAAAAACTTCAATTTAAATTTCAGTACTCTTCTATTTGCAATTCAGTTTACAAGAATGTTACACATTTGAGAAAGATTCCATGGGAAACCAGGAGGAAGAACTAGCTGTAGGTTATAAGTTAACTGTGTTTAACTAAATAAATGAAGATATTGGCAAATTGCTCAGTTTATATGACCTACTAACAAATGTCTATTGTTTTTAAAGGATAGTTGTATCTGATAATATTTATTAATGCTTAATATATACCAGATAATTGGATCAAGAGGGTAGAGTGAATGTAAGAATTGGAATATTTGATATTATATGTTCATGGTATATCAGTAAGTACTTGATTTAAAGAAGTAAGAGGAAATAAAAGAATCTATAATTATCAGATATTAGCCTGATAGTGGTGATATTTATTTGGAGCAATGGGAGTTGTCTAGTAAATATCACATTTATTTGTTTTTGTTTTGTCAGGTAGATGTTAATTAAACAGTATGGTGATACAAAAACAAACGAATTAATACTCAAATTAGAGATCAGATTTGAAGAAATAATTTTCTAAGAAATAATGAAAACATAGGTACTTAAAATGTCACCGACTAGATGCCAAGAAAGCAGAAATTTTCACTGACTCTTTCAGCACATTCTGTAGCAAACTACTGACACCTGGATGACTCTATTCTTTTATCTGTTTCTGTTCTATTTTCTTCTGTATGTTCACTGGAAAGATAAATCACATTTTAAGAGCAATAAAGTCAGATATTCTCAAGTTCTCTCTCACTGTATTTTTCTAAACCCAAATAGTGCTCCTTTAAGAATACTTCTGGTACCAGCTGATAACCTTTGTCTCTTCCACATCAAAATTTGGTGAGCTATATCTTGTCTATATCATCAGAATAAAAAAAAAAAATTCTTGTGAAGAATAGGTAGTTTATCCATCAACCAGCTTTTGCATCGAAAAATCAAAATGAATACTTGAAATTTCTTCCAGGTTCTCTGTTGTTTTCCTTAGGTGGTTGAATGGATTTTTTTTCTGTATTTAATAATTATAGTATTATTATCATTATTAATTACAAAATGTACTGTATATTTTCTTATTCTCACTCCTTTTACCTTTACTTAATATTTTGTTTTCTTTTACTTATTTTTTTAAGCAAGACACAAATGCAATGAATGTACATTTGTCAGTAATCTGGACTAACATTGATATAAGTTGGCATTATGATGTGTTATCAGTCTCAAACAGGATGTTTTCAATATTCCACAACTGAATATTAAGTAGTTCATACTTAATATATATCTGTGTCTCACACACACACGCACAACCCCTTCTTTATCCACTCATCTCTATGTGGGCACAAAGATGTTTCCACAACTTGCTTATTATAAGTAGAGTTATTGTAGATACATTTAATATTTTTAGAAACTTCCAATACTTTTTTTCCACTGGGTCTGAAGGAGTCTACACTACCAATAGTGCATACAATTTCCTTTCACATGGCATCCTCCCAACATTATAGGCAACCCAGAACAATCAAACCATAGAGATATTGATAGTTTTCTAAAGTAGAGCCTTTAGAGGGGAGAGATGAACACATAGAACCAAGATAATTTTTAAGGTGATGAACATAATCTATGATATAATCATGGATACAAGTTATTATAAATGTACCTTAATAGAGGATACATAAAACGAAGGAATCCTTAAGTTGAATTTGAAGCTTGGGTGATAATGATGTATCAATATAGGTCCATCCTTCATAAAACATGTACTATTATTGTGAATAAAACTGGAGATATGAAAGATTATGCATTATGGGGGTTGGTTATAATATGGAAGATCTTATCTGCTTATCAATTTTGTAATTAAGCTAAATCATCTCTAAAATATTAAATCTGCTTAAAATGCATGTTAAAGTTAATTTTCCATTTCATAATTCTTTGTAGTAATATTTCAGTATAAATCTAATATCATGGAAGATGCTATTTGTTTTAAGCCTAATCAATAATGCAGTGTTTTATATACAAATATGAAAATACCAGTGTGTTTATCTGTATTTTTAAAGAACAACTTTCCTCTCTGTGTACTTACTGTAGGCTACATATCGAAATCGAATTGTGAGCCAAAGTCTCAGCACAAGGGACAGAAAAGCAATGCATACTCCCACCGAGGACCACTTTAGACACTCAACCTCTGACCAGACAAGCCCCTACAAAAACAAGACCTGTCAACTATCAAGTCTATGTTTAAGTAACATTTTGAAGGACAAGGAACTAGTGGAAGCTATTAAACACTCAAGAGGAACCTTTGAAACCCTAACTTCAGAGGTCACCCAAAACTTACGGACAACTGTGGCACAGAATTCTCTGAAGCCAGCAGCTAAGACAGAAGGGCTTTCTACACTCTCAGAGAAACCAAAGGACCAAGCTGCAGTGACCCGACAGCATACAACCTTCACTGGCAGGTTTGGGCAACCCCCAAGAGGGCCAATCTCTTTACACATGTATAGCAGAAAGAATGTTTTCCTTCATCACAATTTACATACTACTGAGCTGCAGATTCTAGGCCAGCAGGATGGTTGATTAAATTATCCTATGGCTATCTCTAGGCAGAAAAAAGATGGTCAGTGCTTCTCTCACGTAGCTCATTCCAACTGTACATCTACTTCTTAATCATCTTTTAGTTATAAACAAAAACTTGCACACTACTTTTTATGATAAACTTTCAAGCATGTTAAATTAGTTTGAATTGCCTTGGAGATTTAATTTTATATATATGTGTGCGTAAATATATACTAATATATATTTATATTTGTATATATTCATACACACTCATATACACATATATGATGGGAGCATATTGTTGGCTATTACAGTCCATAATTTAATTCTCTTTTATTTTATTGAGTCATAGGTGTGCATTAAAGTTGCAAAAGGTTAATATCAAGGAGCACTCTGTTCATTTAATGGTGTTACTGTGAAAATAGATGTGAGGAATAAATAAAGGTATTGTAAAGAATTTTAAATTGCATAGTTTATAGAAGAAGAAAAGAAGGATTTCAAAGTCTCATATTTAGTGGTGTATTTAGTTGAAGAATGAAGCTTGTTTGCATGTAACCTAGAGATGTATTTGCTTCTCTATTACATACATCCAAGCTTATCTTGCTGTACTAAGGCGGGAAAGCTATTTCTTTTATCCTCTAAATGTTTAGTTCACACTAGTTCACAAAGGATTTCAGACTGAGTAATTGCTAGCCAAATAGAGAATGACAGTTCTGATCTTCAAAAAATTTTACTTTGAGTTTTTGCTATTGATGTTGAAGTACTAAGACTTTAGACAGTGAGGTGGTGAAATTAGCTGAATTTTATCAAATGATCATAAAGGATGTCATGATACTCTTGTTGAGTTACTGCCATGTTGGTATCAGCATATTTAAAAAAAAAATTAGGGTCAGGAACTTACAAGAAAATTACGTTAGTTCACTTTCCTTGTACTTTTATTTTTTTTTCACTTTTTAAACATATGTCCAATTTTGTTTCGTATGCGGCAATCCATGTCAATCTATATTTTGACTTTACAAGATAAACTGAAGTTAAAAGGTCGGCTTATTAGTAGCCCAGTAGTCAGGATTAAGAATGTTCAATCATCAAGACTTATAAGAAAAGTAAAGTATTTATGAACTTTGGCAAATTGATATTCTAAATAAATCTCTAACAGAAAATTTTAAAATTCATTTCATGGCAAATATTTATTTACCTTTAGCAAATAAAGCCTACATATTTTATACATACATGCACATGAACTAGATAAATAAATCTATATAAAACACTTCCTTTAAGTTAAATTAATAACAGCACTATGTACTACTGTAGAAAACAAACTAACTAAATAAATAATTTTGAAGTGAGCAGCAGAAATCAGGGACATAGTTTTCTAGTACAAAGATGGACGTGGTATCAACACTATGCATAGTCCATACCAATTGAAATTCTCACCAACTGCATGATCTGTGTCCTCTGTATTTTCTAACAGAATCAACTGATTTAAAAACGAAATGAAGAAAGGGAAATTGAGAGGACACTTTAGCATGGCATCTGATCTCCCTAACTAAAACTATTTGCGAAATGCATCTTCTTATATAAAACTGTTTTAAAGTTCAATGGTTTGGGAAAAGCTACTAAATCTCTCCCCCCATAGAGAGTAAATAATAAACTTTGAAAAACTTTCAAAGTTTGATTAGAATTGATAAAGTCTAGTGAATACATTGTACTTGCAATTTTGCTTTTCCAAAGGAAGATATATGTGCATCAAAATGAATGTTTGCCAAATGTGTTCTTTTATGTTTATAATTCTGCTTAGAAAGAACAAAACATCAAATTTGCTTAGCTTAATGGGATCGCTATATAAAATTGCCACTTACTTTAAAAGCAAAAATATTCACACAGATATATATTTTGCACTCGGCAATATATAAAAATGACAGAAAAGTTATGATAATTGTGGAATAACTTCGACTTGTCCTGAAAGTTGGTGTGTGTTACTGGAGTATTTTGAAGTCTGTACATAAATTAGCATGTTAAAATAATCAAGGATTTTTTCCCAGGATATGGAAGAACTATGTATCACAAATAATGTTTTCGATTTAGAATTTGAAGGTCATAGTTTGTTTCCCTGAAAGACTTTTCAATTATACTTTGTAAAAAGGTAAACTATTTAAGAAAATCTGTCATTTAATAGACATTTTAAGAGATGTTTTAAACACTAGTATTTTCTTGAAAAATGTTTTTTAAACTGAAACATTCAAAATGAAAACCTGGATTAAACAGTTCAATTTTAAAAGGAAGGATATTTTTTTGGAAATATCATCTTAAAGCTGTTTTGTATCAGTATTTTAAGCATTGTTATAATATTATTTGTAATACTAAGTGTAACTCAGGCCTGGAGAAGATATGAGCTCACTATACTAATGTACATCATAATTATAAAACAAGAGTCCTTTGTAAGTTTCTCTTGTGTCTACATAGTAACTCATAACAATTGCATGTGGGCAATCTTTCAGTAAATTGATTTCTTTGTACTAAAATCTCTAGTTTTCTAAGACAGTTCCATGTATAATAATGATTTATACATTTCTCCAAGGCAGTACATATCCAAAGAAATGACACCAGGGGGAAAAAGTGCTTGTTTTTCTGACGGTCTTTTCTTTTCTGCTCTGTTTCTTCTGTGCATGTGTAAGTGTGGCTAAGCCTAAGCATCCCTGTAAAATTTCTGCTGCAAATTGTCTCTTCTGAATTTAGAATGTGTTTTAAAGGACACTTATGGAGAGATTCCTCAAGAGAAGAGATATTCCTTGAAAGAAATTTGTTTCCATCTGAAATAAACTGTTCCCATTTTTGTAGTTACTGGAACATGCAACTCTATTTCTATTAATTCAATGATATTTTCAAATAATTTTATATGCTAATAGTCACAGCAAAATTATGAATGACCTCTAAATTTGTTTTGCTTCTTTGCAGTACCATAGCCTTTGTGCAGTTGACACCATGAAACCATAGCTGCAATGTGAAGCCTATGAATCTACTTGTATCAATATGCTCAGGGCAAAAACCTACAGCCACCCATTTTCCAAATGGTTTTGTTATTGATTAAGATTTAAGTAAAATAGCAAGCTGCTAGTGAATATTAAACATTGGTAGGCATACACATACTTGCCTAACTTAAAACATTTACAGAGATTTTCCAAGATTAATCTGCACTTATGATTTATGTTTTACTACACATATTTGCTAAGAAATATATTCACTCTTTATTTTCTGAGTATCGCTGAATGCAAAGTAATTTATAGAATTCAATACCAATTTCACATTTTGCTTTGCTTTGTTTTTAACTTGTATATATTAGAAATAATGACTTCCTCAACGAGATTTTTTTTTAATTATCATGTATTTAAGGATTACATCCCCAAGATAAATAATTACATTCTACTAGTGACCCCGGGAGCTTTCTTAATAAGTTGGTTATTGGTGGGATAGGGACAATTTGTTGAATGAGAAGTGCTATTTCTCTACATACATTATCTACTCCCATAATTAACTTCTTTATTCTCAAACAGTTGTGGCTTACTTCAGTGGGTAACTTGAAATACTGAGTGTAATATTGAAATTATAATTTCCCAATTAAAGTTTCAACTTTGTTCCACATTTTCACTTTGTAACTTTTTATTCTGAATATCTTTGAAAGGATAAAAACATCCCTTACATTACCAATAAACCACATATAGATGAAAGTGGGAAAAAAGGATGAACATTGTAAAGTGCTCTGTGTGATGTCATCCACGTGACTGAATCAGATTTCCTTGGCCAGGCATTTTTCCTTTCACGGCACATCTGTTCAAATGCACCACGGGCTCATTTCTACTAAGATGTTGATTGCATTCTGAGATTTGACTCTAATTAAACACTACCACATCCTTTTATTTCCTTAACTTACATTTTTGTACAAAAAATACTTCAACCACTAATAACATTCTTTAAAAGTTTCCAGCACCTGGAATATACGGTGGTGCAATGGGTTAGGATGCAGCAGTGCAAGCTGGCTGCAGCCGCCTCAGTGCGAGTTCGAACCCAGTCCCTAGATGATACCCATGGTGCGGCAGATCTCTCTTATCTTGCCTGTTGCTCCCCTCAGCAGTGTACTTTGTTGATCTGCCTGTTCTTCTCCCCACTCTGTCTCCTCTCGCTGCCCCTGCACCTCTGGCCTGTACCCCAGTTCTGTATTAGTAAATAAATAAATCTTTAAAAATATATACTTTTCCATATGATGACATTGCCATGCCACCTCTACACTAAATCAAAATGCATGTCATGGAAGATAGAAATACAAAGTGGCTGTGTTCTTATAAAAAACAAACAAACAAAAAATACTGCAATACAAGGTAGTATAAAAGCAAATAAACAACTACCAACCTGCCAACTACAGAAGTCATTTCTCTAACAATGTATATTGTCAGTGCCAGATCTTTATTTTTTTTTAAAGATTTATTCATTTATTCATACAGAACTGAGGTACAGACCAGAGATGCTTAGGGTGAGAGGATTCACCATAGACAGAGTGGGGAGCAGAATAGGTAGATCAACGAAGTACACTGCTGAGGGGGGCAGCCGGCGGGTCATGAGAAGTCTGCCTCTCCATGTGGATCTCCTCCAGGGCAGGCGGGGATCCAACTCATGCTGAAGTGACTTAAGCTTCTTAGTGCTGTGCTTTAACCCGCTGTGCCACCAGGGTGGGCCCCAGATCTTTATTTTTAAAGCTTATTTGTACCAAGTTATTTCTCCAGTGGTTAGAACAACAAGCATATCTATGAATTATTTATTTACAATCAAGGCCTTAAAACCACATTTGTGTTTATAAGTAGTTTAGCTAAAAAATAAAATAAATCATTTTCCAGCTATGTCACTTTTGGAAAAGATGAACACATCCATTTTATTTTATACCTGGAGAATTCCCTACAAAGAGAGTGACACTGTAAAAATTCTTAATTAATACATCAATACATTAATATTCTTCACTAAATGATCTAGAATGAAGGATACACACACACATATTTAGAGATATCTTATGATACTTTTTGTTTAAAAATTTACATTTTTAAATGTAAATTTAAAAAATAAATTTAAAAAAACTACTTTTTTTAAAGTAGTTATATATATATAATATATATA